GGTCCACTCATTCTTCCATCCTGGTGAGACTCATGAGGGGCCGCTGAGGCCCAGGAGGTCCTTCCTCTCTCCAAGCCCAGTCCTTCTCCTCCCATGCCTGGCTGATGCAGCCAGTTGTGGGCAGTGACCCACTGCTTCCACGAGGCCTTGATCATCGATGAGGGTGTCTGCTCTGTGTCGTTTGTTACCTGGGACGCACAGGGAGCTCGGGTGTCAACACACAAGGGCATCCTGCTCACACACCATCATCTGGAAGAACACAGGGCTGCAGGCCAACCCCAACAAGGAGCTTGGGGGACCAGGGAGCCCAGACTGCAATGGTGCAATGGTCCGAGAGGACCCAACTACGTGCGAGGACGTTGCTCAGGGCCTTGTCAGTCACTTCTCTCCCATGGGCCTGCTCCAGGGGTCCCTGGTACCCATAACTCTCTGAGGCTATCTGCCCACCTCCCTGTGCCCCTGGACTGGACTGTGGGGGAGCCTGGACCTACCTCTGGGCACGGATGCCTGGGAGCTGCCTTCCGTCATGAGGGAGAGGAGAGAAGTGTGAAGGATTTGGCTGTTTTCCATGTGAGGGTTTTGGGGTGCACTCCAGTCTCCCCAGGATGCCCTTGGGAAACCGCTCACAGCTCACTGCTTACCATCTCCAACTTACCCTTCTCTACACACCCCGAGGTTGTCTTTCACTCAACCTTCTTCTGACCCAGCCTTACCTTACCTCAGTGTCAATTTCTTGTGTGACCTGGAGGAGCTCAGTGTGGAACCAGCTGGATGAGTCAGAAAGCGGCAGAGCCTGGGGAAGCACAACCAGGCCGCAGTGCGTGTTACCCCTCAAGCACCCAGAGGCCTAAAGTGACCCTGGTTTCCCGCAGCTCTGCAAGTCAGCAGGGCGTGCTCCTTTTGGGGAGAATCTGGGGAGAATCCACTTCTGTCTCTTATGCATCTGGAGGCCGCCACTTTCCCTGGCATGGTTCCCTCCAGCTTCAAGGCAGTGATGTCCCCTTCCCTGGCCCTGCTTCTCTTGTCACATCCCCTCTGACTCTGAACCACCCTCTCACAGGGGCTCTCTGACTCTCCTGGGAAGATGACTCAGTTGGTAAAGTGCTTACTGGGCAAGCATGGGGACTGAGTTCAATCTCCAGCACTCACATAAAAAGCCAGCATTTATAACCTCAGTTGAAGTTAAGATAGGTCAGCTCTAGGTTCTAGTTATCTGACCTCCACATGAATGTGCACACATATGCATGTACACCACCCCAGGAGCATGCACATGCACACACACACACACACACACACACACACACACACACCCATAACTGAATCACATCTACAAGGTCCCTTTGCCCCATGATCTCACCTATCCACCGGGATTAGATGTGGACATTGGTGCATGATTGTGCCCACCATATTGCACCCTGGGGAGTCAGAGAATAACCAACCCCAGGCTTTGGGTCCTGGTTGCCAGCCCCCATGTTGTTAGGTGATAATCAGTCACAGAGGTGGACTTGGAGGAGGCCAGGCCTAGGACTGTCTTGCAAATCACCTCCCTGCATTGGCTAACTGGAGAGCTGGTGAGCTCTACAAGACTGAGCTGTTGACCCCATGTGCTAGGAGACCTCACAGAGTCAAAGCTGTTGGAGGCGTGTGCGTGCGTGCGTGTGTGTGTGTGCGTGCGTGTGTGTGTGTGTGTGTGTGTGTGTCTGTATGCACATGCATATGAGTACTTGCATGATAGAAAAGAGGAACCTCTCAAGTCTGAGGATCCAGCTCCCGCTTCATCTCAGTATCCTTTATACTCAGAAGAGCTGGAGATAGAGGGAGACATCAAGGGCCTAAGTCATGTACTCTCTGGGGGGGAGGGCTTTGTTCATGGGTCATGTAGGGCAACTGGGCACCCCATCAAGGAGCCTTTCTCACAAAGCTGCTCCTGACCCCGTAGGGAGCCACATGCTCCTGGGTCCTGCCATGGGTTCCAACACTGCTGGGATGAGCTCCCACAGAGCGCCTCTCCTGCTGACCATGCTGTGACCACTGTGCCTGGTGCCCAGGTCTTCAACATCTCAAGGGAGGAATGTCCCGTGGATGGGTGCAGCCTGTATCTATCCTGATGCTCATTCCTGGATATTATGGGGGAACATGCCCCTTTGACCATCTCATCAGAACCACCATGCTTGGGACAAGGGGACAGAGCCAGCTCCGCAAGGGAGATGTGCTGCCTGCAGTGGGCTGGTGTGCTTGCTGCAGTCAGCCTGAGCATTCCTCTGCCCTAGGAAGTCTCTAAGAGCTGGGCCTCAGGCTGGGGCAGGGCGTCCTGTGGCCCTTGTTGATGGGGATCATTCACTGCAGGCTGGTCTGGCTCAGTTCTCCAGTCCAGTTTCTATGTTCCCCATTCCGGTTGCTCCACAGTGGGTAGTCACCGCCCACGGTCAGGAAGTCAGCCGCAGCTGGCCTCACGTGGCAGAGCAGATGGGGGATTATAGCTCCTGAAGCCCTCTAGCATCAGAGAGATGCAGAAAGGCAAGGGGCTTATTAAAACGCTGAAATTGGTTCTAAATGAGGTCAGCTGTCGATGAGCCTTGGCATGAAGCCAGGCAGTGAGTAGCAACACATAGAGTTTATTTCCTGATGTGGTGACAGTGACACCCTGGGTGCCACCCCCAGTCCACCCCTACCCTGGGAGGGTGACTGACAGAGAAACCAGAGCAGTGGGGGGGGGGTGTCAAGAGCAGGCAGGAAGGGCTCTCCCAAGCACTGGCCCTCCTCCCCAGCACCACAAGGTGTGTCTGTCTAGCTCAGCTTTTGTGGATGTTCAGAGCACCTGGGACACAGGCAGGGAAGCTGAGCCCTACTTCCTACCCTAGGGTCAGACTGCTCTGTGTCAAGATCCAGCACTAAGAGGAAGAGCTGGGAAAGGCACCCAGGGGACTCGCTCACCTGCCCCAGCCTTTCTCCCAGGAGGCACTCTTGGTCAGCACACCCTCCTGACTCCTGTGGGATTTTTCTCATCTTGGCTGCCAAGGTGCACCCCTCACCCTTATGCTGCAAAGGCAGCCCATTTTGAGGTCTCTGGGTGCTGTCCTGCCCCATTCTTCCCTGGTCGTTCGTGCCCCAGACAGACAACTGCATGACCCTGGGAACCCTGCTTTTCCCTCTCTGTGGCTTTATCCCCCTGTGCGTCAGATGGGGACAGTCCCAGGCCCGTCTCTCAAAGCCAGCAAAGGAGGCCTACTTCCCTCTCCTGCTAACTACCAGGACTCAGTAATTGTTACTTCTGAAATTGGCTGAATCATTTCTGCCAAACGCGGAGGAAGGCCTGTGTTCCAGCCCGGTTTGGAGCTGTAGAATGAGAACGCCTTTTGAATCCTGTTAAAAATAAACGTGTGTATGGCACTCTGCTGTTTACTAAGAGCAGCACACGACTCCCCAACTCCAAGCCCTGAGCAACTGTTGCTCTCCCCTTGCTCTCCCCTGTATCCAGGAGCGAGACAAGACCTACTTCGGGCACACTCCTGCCCAGGACTTCTGCTGCCTTTCCTACTTTTCCAAGGAACAGAGCACTGGGGGGGGGGGCGGCGGCAACAGAAGACCCCAGGGCCTTGCCACCCCAAGGGAATCTCCAGGACTCACGAAACCAGGCTGCGGCTGTGCCAGGCCACGCTTTATCTCGGTGCCTGTGACTCTCTTCCTGGCTGGTATGGAACAAAGAGCCTCCCAGGCCTGGAGGCTCTGCCGATCTGCTCCCCAGGGCAAGGCCCCAGCTATCTCCAAATTTCAGCTGTGTGTGAGGTTCCTTTTGCTCTCTATAGAACAAGACTCAGATCAGAATTGGCCTTGCTGCCCACAGACTCAAGCCGGGCAGTGACGTTAATGTGTTCCTGAGGTTGGAAGCTTCCTTTTTCCAAAGAGAGGAGGAAAAAGGAGGGGGTCAGGGATGAAAGGAGGGGGAGAGGGAGGGAGGAAGGGAGGGGGAGAGAGAGAAAAGGGGAGGGGCGCTAAAGAGGCGGGGGGAACATTTGGCTTGTGTTTGTATATTTTT